GAGCAGTGGTGGTGTGTACTATGAAACGATTGGAACAGTTTAGGCTCTTTGGTCCAAACTAGAGTTGAACATTTTAGTTTGTTGCGCTTTTGAGGAGCAAACCAAAGCTTGCAGACTGAAGTCACTTGAAGTTGCTCATTTATTTAACACTTTTTGTTGTAACGTGCCATGCTGCGAGTGTGAAGTTTCTGCCGGAATAATGAAATAACACTGCTGTCTGTGCTTTTCGTCACGATGTGGTGTGTTGAGCCAGAGAGCATAGACACAAATCTCTGGTCATCTCTGCCTATTTTTTTTTTTTTTAACCTAATTAAATTTTTACTCTTACAACAACAGCTCGCTTTGGAAAAACACTGGCAACATCTTCACCTCATGAATGGTATGAAAGTTCTCCCGATACGCTTGATGCAACACACCCAAAGGACTCAATGCAAATACACATCTTTAATTTTATTCTGCACTAGCCAAAGAAAACAGTACTGACCTCTTTCAGAGGATCCCATTTATTTATTTATTTTTTTGCTATTTTCTAATGATGTGAAATTTTCACTTTTTAAAAAATAAATAAAAAAATCAAATAGGTTGTTTATATAATTAACTTTGAGTATTTAACATTGGGTAATGTATCAAGATAAACTGCTTCAAATCTGTCACACAACTAACGAACTTTAATTTGTTGGTTATATCTGTAATAACAGTTTGGTTGTGGCAAGAAGCTGCAAAGAAGTGGAGTGAAATATTTTAGGCACACAAACATCCTGGAGCCTGCTTGGTGTAAACAGACTTTTATGGCCATGGAACAGACGTGCTGGAGCAATTCAAGTTTATGTGGTCAAAGATTTCCCAGACATATGTCTTTGTCAATAGTAGGGGAGTGGTTGTCATACTGCTAAACACTGGGTTTTAGGCTTATAACATCTAAATGGTAAATGGACTGCTTTGTTATTGATCTCTCACAGTGCCTTACACTACAAGCTACACTCACATAGCATCTTACTCGCAAGGACAGTTCAGTTCATTTCAGCTGGAGCCGTGGACCAAACCATCAGTTTCCGATTACCAAAACTTCACAGTGTTAGTTTGGCCCACGCTACCTCCTGAGTCACACTTTTATCAGAAGTGATTATTAAGTGTCTGTGTATGTAATTTTTCTTCATCAGAACCTAACCCCTTGTATCCATGGTAACTGGAGTCTTTTTGGAGTATCCTCCAACATCTTTGTGAAGCTATTTCTCTCTCTTTGCAGGCACACATCAACGCTCATACCCATATAGGCAGGTTTCTGTAATCTCTGCATCCTTGTTCCTGTTCTCCTCTTCTTTTTATTGTTTCACTGTGTTTTTTACTCGCTTAGCTATTTGAAGTTTTTCTTTTGTATGTTTTCTGCTTTTTTTTTTTTTTTTCCTTTTGCTTGCTTCTATTCTTTGATTTACATTTTATACATTAGGTACATTATGCAGATACTGTATACAGCATCTTCTACATACTGTGGGATTTAGTACTTAACCTGATTGTCCAGTTGCCTTGCATTGAGCCTGCTCCTGTGTACTACTTGCTAGTATTAGCCTCTCAATTCATGCCATTCTTTTTCTTCTTCTTCTTCTTCTTCTTCTTCTGTGAATTAAGACATAAATTTAAGTTAGCTCTCATATCCTGATCTGGATCAGCCCACTAATCTGGATTAAATTAATTGTTTGGTTTGTTGGCATTTCTGCAAATGTACTATGAGAGGTTGCTTTCATAGCTGACTGAGGTTTATATGGCAGTGTCATGTGGTAGTGTGAGTTTTTATTGGTTATTTACAGCTTGCATAAGGGTGGATTTAAACAAGGGCCTCTCCACAGAAAAATGTCACATTTTTTAGCTCATCATGAGAGCGTCTAAATATCATGCATCTCTCATATGATATCAGAATGGCAGCGTTACACTTTACAGGCACAGGAAAATGTGCTGTGAGAAGTCATTGTATGGTGTGTTTGAGAAGCAAAGAAAGACTTAACATCCCTTCTTTAGTTGTTATGCTGTGTGCAGATTGTACTTGTGTATTTATTTTAAAGCTGTGAAATCAGTTAACACATATAAACCATGTTATCTGTTTTTCTAACACTTTCATAAAACTTCATAAAACAATGATTTTATTCATCCACTTTAACCTGGAACAAACATTTATTTTCTGATCACTCTGAGGACCACTGTAAGACAGTGAACAGAAAATCAGTGTCTAACTTTTATTAGTTTAATAAAAATTATACACTGAGTTTGTGTGTGTGTGTGTGTGTGTGTGTGTGTGTGTGTGTGTGTGTGTGTGTGTGTGTGTGTGTGTGTGTGTGTGTGTAAGGCTGAATCAGGACTCTAAGATTCTCATAAGGAAGCCACATGATTGTTGATTAATCTCTGCCCGGGTTAGAAATAGGTCACTCTTGCAGTTAAGGCATCCTTACCAAGAAAGCATCAAAGCATTTTAGAGCTCAGTCATCTGAAAACCATCAAGTTGTATTTTGACGAAACAGGATTTCCAGAAAAGTGACAAAGGACAAAAGATAAAGAAAGTCACTGGGCTACCATGTGCTTCCAGCCAGAAGAGGTTCAGTTGTCTTTTGTCTATAAATCTGCGGAGCAGCAATCTAGGGATGGAAATGTATTTTTCCAAAGGATAAACACCCATTTGATCTTTTGTTGTTGTTGTTATTTAAATTTTTATTTGGAATCAGGGGTGTACATGCTATTCACACCACAACAGCTTTCACATTATAATTTTCTTTGATAACACATGTAAACCCAACATCAATGAAGAAAGTAAGTAAATAAGGTAATATTAACATAACTTTGAGGAGGTTAGCAAGTAGAGAGCGGAAGTATCTGCTCTAAATGATAATACATCGTCAATCCAGGATCCCAAGACTTAAACATTACTCCTTTTCCTTTCCTTTCCTTTTCCTGTCTTAAAATAAATGTCAGCTTCTCAATCATGTAAATGTCGTGAACTACAATAATCCAGTTTTTCACCATTTTCTTGTCGGAGTCAATTAAATTTTGTACAGATATTTGTTTTCGAACTCATCCAGTGTATCTGCTCTTAAACGTAAATATAAGATCTCAAAAGAAAAGGGGACTGTTATCTTAAATATTCTTCCTATAGCTATCTTTAGCTGAGACCAGTGTTGCTGGAGTTGTGGGGAAGTCCAAAACACATGAAAATGGTTTGTATTTTTTTCTCTATGAAACCTCCAGCAACACAATTCTTTATTTAGGAAACTACTTTGTGCAGGTGTCCTGAAAAATCTTATGTTCTCCAATTGATGTTCTGACGGTGATGGTGAAGAGGATTGTCTAACTCTGGAAGGCTGTAACATCTAAATCATAATTTTCATATTTATACCATTCATTTGACCCTTCTTGTGCTGTCTTGTGCTGTCAGGGGGCAGGATAGAAACACAGCATGGCATTTCTGTCACTTAGGATGCTTAAGATCCCAAATCAAACCAGAAAAATATCCGCAAATAGCAAAACAGCCCTCGACTGTAAACAGGTCAGGGTTTGTTTTTTCCTTTAATTTGTCACCAATCTGTAAATGAATCACTGAAAAGCTGTTTGAGGTTATTAGTCACAAAATATGGCATACAAAATAAAACAAATGGCCATTTTTATTTCATTCTCTGTTTATTCTTAAAGTTTAAACTCACTGGTGAAGAATGGGTAGATTTAACTCTTGATTTCTGGAATTTGGAATCATGAGCACATTAAGGCACACTGTGTGGCTCTCGGGCTCTGCCAAAGATCCACCTACAGAAAATGCCCATATATTCTCTGTGAGACAGGAAGAGAGAGAAGGTGGTAGTAAGAGAAGATCGAAGAGACACTTAAATGTTACAGCAACAAAAGGTTACCAAGGAGTCAGTGCAGGTAAACCAACAGACACGCTGAAGTTGTCATCACAACTGCTTTAAAAAAAACATTTAAACATTTCACACTGATTAAAACAGATCACTCTGTACTTTATTAGCACACAATCAGCTACCTTAATTAATCTCATGTGACAAGTTTGATAAATCAGTTGCGAGTATGGAGATTATAAAAATGACTTGGTCTGATGATCTGACAGTGCCTTTCTCCCTGTGGTCACTGCCAAGAATTGTTCATGTGGAGCCACCTCTTGTAACGTTAGGCACATTGCAGCTGCTTTTACTTCAAGACTCAGATACCAGTTAGTGACCGAGAAGTGAAACAGTTCATATGAATTACATTTGTATTTTTATACAAATCCTAAACTTTACTTGCAATAAACTGGGGTCGTAAACAAATATGACTCATTCAGTGCATTTCCAAGCTGTCCAATTTCTGCAGACAAAGAGAAAGAAAGAAAGAAAAGTGCAGCCACTCGAGAATGACTGGATTTTGAACTTAATCACATTTCGTGAAATCTTTCCCAGGCTTAGGACCACCTGCTTTAAGGTGATTTCCTCATCTTTAAGCCCTTGGAACTTATCGTTTGTCGGTTCCCACCCAATCAATTTGGCCAAATTAACCCACTTGACCTTTTGCACCCATTTTCATACATTCTTTCACCCTGAGTAAGCTGTGAGAATGACTGTTATTGCTGCAATTAAAAAACCTTGGTGTAGTGTTATCGTGCTGTTTTTGCTCACATAAAAGAAAACTAAGAGATGACATAAAGACGCTGCTAATTAAATCAGCCTCCTGACAGAGAAAAAAGGGGGGAAAGGGGCAGTGATGAAAGAGGCGAAAACAAAGGAAGATCAGGCAGGAGATTAAAAAGCACAGAGGTGAGACAAAGTGGTAGAGATTGTCTACAAATTTAAAGGGACTAATATTAACAATGTAGTGTAGTAATAAATCATTAATATGTCTGTCCAATTTGAAAGACGAGTCCTCTGAAGACCCCGTAAGCTCAGCTATCTGTCATACATGCTAAGAAATATTACATCTCATTAACGTTACTGATGTTTTCCGGGATTAAAAGTGAAGGACAAAGAAACATATTTTACTGTTTGGGAAACTTTATGCTTCTTTATTCAGTTTAATATTGGGGGTTTTTTTTGGTTTGTTTTTACATATGGTCTAAAAATAAGAAAAATCGGGAATGCACTTGCAAAAGTTCATAGAAAGAAACGGTACTTTTGGAACATGGCTTAAAAAACACACAATCAATAGAAGAGCTCAATGTAGTACAAACTACTCGTCTGTACTTAGTGGAATGATTGCATAAACACACATACTGCCACTAGAGGGCAATACGCACCTAAGTTATCACGCATTTCTTGTGCAGTGTGCAGTCAGCTTGAAAGAGAAAGCAAAGGATTGTTTTGTCATCGTCCCTCAAAGCTTACTGTCATCGAAAACACAGTGTGGTTACTCAGCATATCTGATTTACACTATTGTTCAAATCACATTTTACACTAATCAGTTCAAGTCCAGCTACGTTCAGGTGATTATTATGAGTGACAACAATTTCATAAATGCAAACATATAATAACAGCAAATAGTGAACAGAAAAACCAGAAGAGTAGCTGCAAAGCAACAAATGCTAAACACTACAGAAAGCAGATTAATAAACGGAATGCTGAATAGAGGGAAAAAAAGTGCAGTTGCTAGAATAAAGTCTAAAAGACAACCATAAAACAGTTTGTACATCTGAATCTATCACTGCGTTATTTATTGCGTGCTTATTGATCTTTTCCAATAATTTAGATACGAACGATAAAGATAACTTTATCGGCTGTGGATAACTTACAATATTTCCATTTAGTGAAAGGTTAGACAAACATGGAGGCTGGTTCAATCATTTTAATTCCACCCTTACCTCAGACGGGCGTGCTTTGTTCACGCAGTGGAGCTAAAGACTCAGCTAGAATTCCTGAGGTGTGTTTCACTGAGTTACAGTAAAACTGTGAGAGGCGTTTGCAGTTTAAAAGAGCTGTGTCATTGTGGAATGCGGATGATATAAAACCACAATGACAGCCAGAAAACTGAGAGCCAGACAAAAAGTAAACATGCCACACTATGTCAAGTCCTTTTTGTTTTGTTAGTTGAGTTGCGTGGTTTTGGTGCAAAATGCTGATGTGTGTTTAACTCTGAGTAAGAGGGCTGAACCAACACCCTCGGCAAGAGGTAATTTTGGCCAAATAGTCTTGTTCACACCTGAGACCTGTGTTGTAAAGTATGTACACGTCATCCTGAGGTAGTCAGGCAGTGAGGCATGTTATAAATGTATGTCCCCATTCGGTTACAGTTAAAACTATAAATGTCTCCCTGACTGTGTTGCTTTGCTTCCCCAGACATTCAACTATAGTAAGCTATTTACAGTGTTAAAAAAAACCATCTGCTACAGCCATCGAAGGACTTCTAACCGGTGGACAATCGAAATGATTTTAAACACAAGGAACACATTCCCGCCCACTCGATATACATTTGGAAATCAAAGGGTAGTTAATAAAAAATGCAGTTGATTGTGGTCCTCTATTTGCAAATTAATTTTTCGATTACAATTAAAATCGTACTTGGCAAAGCCATTGCTTCATACTGGAGCTTGCACACAGGCCACAATACACAGTAAAGGCCCTCAGATAATGTATGAGAAGGGTTACAGTAAGGCTTCAAAATCAGTTTGAAATAAAAAACCTCAGGAGCCGCAGTCCTCTGACACCCTGTATCGCCACATCAGTGTGCTTGTTCTGTATCTAAAGTCAATGTTGTCCAGTGACTGTGTCCCTGCTGGAACTTCATGGAGCTTCCTCATTTGTCATATACTGTTCAACACCCACAGAGGACACCTATGGCTGGAGTGGCAACCCATGCTGTGAGAGAAGAGTGTCTGTGTGAGGACAGAAAGAGGACAGAGGGCAGTCTGGGGAGGTGTACTTGGCTAACACCTGCAGCTGCTCTGGCTGTAGATTTGCTTCACTGCAGACCCTCTGGCATAAAGCAGAAACACTGTGACACGTTTTCAACTTTAGCTGGCTCAACTGGCTCTTCTCCAGCATCAGTTTCTCCCTCTCCGTCTTCTGTGATACACATACACAAAACACACAATCCGATTAGCACGACCGAGAGCATCTTTTGGATAAATTTACTGATTAAAAAAAAACAAAACGAAACATACTTACCAGCTTGTTGATTTCACACTGCAGATTATATATGCAGTCCAGTTTTCTCTTGCGGCATCGCTGAGCTGCGAGGCGGTTTTTGCTGCGTCGTCTCATATCATGGACAAAGTCCAGCTGTTCACGCGTGAAGGCATGTTGCTTTAGCAGCTGCTGGAAGTCGTTTCGGCTCAGCTCCACTATCCAGTCTACAGAGAATGGCAGCTGCACCTGAAGAAACCCAGCAGGAAAAAAAAGAAGAAGAAAATGTTACATGACATCGTTTCTAAAATGAGACAAAGAGTGTTCCTTAATGACATACTTTTAAATCTTTACGCAACATCACAACACAGGACTGTCTCTGTTTGTCTTACAAGAGGCTTTGATAAATAAACAAAGAAAGCTGGAAGTTAGATAACACCCACAAAAAAACAGGATGGCACAGAAAAAACACAACTGTTTCTCTATTGATATGAAATGATTACGGCCAGTGTGTATTTCTTATGGCTATGCATATTTTAATTTATCGAATTTAATTTAATTCATTTACTTTGTTTTTAGTCAAAGTCCCTTGTGGGACTTCCTGTAAGTGGTGTAAACGGGTAAAAAAAGTGAACAAGGAGTTACATTTTTACCAAGGTGTTAATTGTTAACTCTAAAAACCTGCTGCTGCTAAACTGGGACAGGAAATATTGGAACAGTATCAGCCATGTACTGTTTTATCTACTATAAATAAAAGCTTCGTCTGCACACTCACTGCCTTATTTGTCCAATCCGAGTGGTCAGCTTGGACTTGAGAGCTTCTTCAGACTTGTTGTTTGACTCACACTTATTACTAACTCAACAGGCTGAGCTGTGAATGTAAGCTAAACTGGACTCTGAACCAGCTGGTTGGACGCATATACACGGTCCCAACGCACACGCAGCTGGGTGAATTTTTAACCAGCCTCCACGGCAACTCTCCTTTCTGTTGCCTGAAAGCAAATTTGAATATGATAAAATGTGCCAAAAACTGGTATCTATAACAAGCACAGTGAAGTCACCCACAGGCAAGGTGGTGATGCTTCTCAAGGCACTGCAGTTTCTGAACAACGTGAACTACAGAAGAAGGTGTCGTGGCTAAGCAGGGCCGGACAGAGGAGAAGAGATTCATTTTAACTTCTCACCTGCCTGGCCCTCTCTATTGCGGAGGACTCGCTGTCTCCTTCCGTTTCTGTCTCCGAGTCGCCGTCCTCCCCCGAGTTAAAGGAGGACACACCTGACTGAGATGCCCCCTCACACTCAGACAGCCCTTCTCCTTTCCATGAATATTTCCTTTGGTCCAGATCCTGGAAAAGGGGACAGCTTGTTTTGGGGGTGTTATGCTTCGGCCACTCTAAAGATGTGCTCTGTGGGCATTGGGCCCCTATATTGGTGGGACATCCGCCCTTGGGGTCATGAAAGTTGAGCTGACAGTGGTCTATATCAGATCCCAGCTGCCGTGCCAGGCTCTCAGCCATTTCCTTCTCCGCAGTGATATTATTTACAGGCAAGGCTACTCTTCCATTTTTGCTTCCTTCTTTTCTTGCTTCTTGAAAGCCATTATCTACCCTCTTCCCCTCTCCCTCTATCTTATCCTCTGCCTTGTTTTGACTGGAGATTGGCCATCGTACAATAGGGCTTATTACTTCTTCAATGTCCATACAAAACCTTTCCTGCCTCAGTGGTCTACAGATTACAGGACCCTCATTCAAGGCCCTTTGAGGGCCATGGTGCAGCATTAACCCTGATGACCTCTCAGTCAGCACTGCGCTTGACTCTGAGGAGTCTGACTGGACACTGGATATTTCCAAGGAGGCGATTGCACTTGCACCCTCTAGCCCGTCGTCCATTTCAATATCATTCTCTCGTACTTTCTCGCTCCATTTGCCCCCTCCTTCATTTGTGTTCTTCTTAACCATAAGAGCTGTCGCTCGGCCCAAGCAGTTCTCTGTCTTCCCATCATTTATTTGAATTTTCCATGGCTCATCAGTCCCTCCTTTATTCTGTCTGTAGCCACTTAAGACTGAATTTCCAGAGATTTCAGTCTTAGTTTCATTCTTACTGTTTGCACTGCTGGAACACGGCAAGTCAGAGATGACACAGTCATTCCTGACCCCTGTTGTTTTGACCAGGCTCTTCTCTGTGACAGAAGCGTCCTTCCCGCAAGCTAGCTGGAACTTGCGATACTTTGGACACTGCATAAAACTGTCATTTGTTCCCTCAGCTACTAGTGCACTTGTGTCTGTGCTCTTCTGACTTCCCACTTTGTTGTTCACTGATTTGTTACAGTCCTGAACCACTTCCCGCTGGCATGATGACTCAGCAACTGGTTGTACTTCTTTTTCATCCAACAATACGCTGTCAGAGTCTGTGTTGCTGTTTTCCTCTGAAGGCGGCCGCTTGCTCTTCTCTTTACAACAGGTCTTTCTCTTGAATGGAGGAGGACCTTTGGTGGTGGTGGAGAGGAACTTGGGGAGCAGAAACTCAAAGCATCCCTCATCTAGGTCTTTGAAGCCAAGAATGACCGCCGAGTTTCGGATTTCTAGGACGTCCTCTTTTCCAAAGAGTAGTTTGGACGTGTAGGCAAACTTCAACAAGGGTTCAAAGCCAGTGACTGTCACCTGTAAAAGAGGTCAAATACATATTTTCTTTTAAAAAGAGCATGTTCTGCCTAATTCTGTACTTCCTGTAAGAGTAGACGATGAAGGGAAAAGTACTGTATGTCCACATGTGAAAATAGATTGATTTATGCCAACTAAAGAAGTTTCGGGAAATAAAAAGGATTAACTGTTAATATGATGACAGTCTCTGACTGTCTATGAAAGCAGGTTTTACTTGAATAAAAAAAGTACTCTAAGTCTGACTTTTTAACCAAAATTTAGCCACTAACCGGTTTGACCTGATCTTTCCTATATGGATTTGTCCACTGACGCCAGAGATTATATGTTGGCGCTTCCGTGCGTTTTAAAACAACAGTCGGTCTCATTTATTATTTAAAAAAACAACAACAAACAAATTCCCAACTCTGCGACTACCTGTGAGGAAACGAGCCTCACAAGCGCCTTTCTCACTTCACTTTCAGAAAACATTTTGTTATCGTGAGCTTGTGCATGTGTAATAATTTCGACCTCTGTGGCGTCACGACGTGATTTCTCACCTCTTGGGGAAGAGTGACGACCGCCCCATGTTGTGTGAATGAGGAGATCCTCTGCGCGAAGTACTCGCTACAGGAAGCGAGCACCGAGCGGTGGGCTCTGAAACTCTGGCCCTCCACCACTACCGTGACATCGCACAGCACGTCCCGCCGCCGCTGTTCGTCCAGGGAGCTCAGCACATGGGAGGAATGAGCGGTGGACTCGAATGTAAACACAGACGACCGTGGGGCAGACATGGCCACCGATAGATATCTGTTTGTACAGCAAACACACAGAGTCTCTCCGTCAGAGTTCACCAGTTCCCTTCTGTCACAACAACATGATATACTTTTAATGTTACTTCATAAAATACAACACAACCACAAACAAAGGAACGAAAGCATGCCTACCTTAGTCTTACTCTGGAGTAGATTTCCGCGCTGGTTAGGGTGTGTAACTAAGTCCCAGCAAGCTTAACACACATGTTTTTTCTACATGGAATGCTGTCTAACCGGACTATGTTTCCCATAAATCCTTATCGCGAGTCAGATACAAACGAAAATCTAAGCTTGACTCAGTCATATGGCCTGTGTGTGTGTGTGTGTGTGAGAGAGAGAGAGAGAGAGAGAGAGAGAGAGAGAGAGAGAGAGAGCGAGAGGAGGAGGGGGGAGAGGCATAGAGGGAGTGTGCGTCTGTGTGCTTGCCTATGTGTGTTGTAACAACCCTGGGTGTATCAGAGCGGCGCTGACTCATGCACTCTTGCTGATAAAGGATGAGCAAGCAGTTTTCCCGTCCTTACCAAATCCCACCCTCAGATCTGTTTGGTAAACCAACAGCTTTGTTTCCCCAGAAAATCCTTTTATACACGTACCTTGAGCGGACAATTCACAGATTAAGGGGCAGGCTGGGAAGCGAAGCTCGTGTTTAAACAGGATATTGTTTTCCGTGTGTATCTTTGGCTTGAAGGTTACCTGGAGTTACTCAACCATTTGCATACACAGTGAATTATGAGACGCGGTTGTTGTAGAAAAAATAAAGCGTAAAGACAAACACCTCTTGGTGAAAAAAAGGGGAGGAGGGACTAATCTGACGGTTATTGTTTCCCAGCAGGTCCGTGTTGCTTCATAGCTGCAGTTTTTAAAAGCACCAAGTGTTTGTGTGAGCTCAGTGCAAATGCGTCTGTACCAGAGAGAGGCACAGAAAACCTTTGCTGGCAGGGGTACAGGAACTGAACAGTTGTCACAGCTGTGCCTATTGCATTGCATTTTATTTTCATCATTGAAGTTACATGGCTCTACTTTAAGCATCACCACACGCCTTGTGTTTTACACTCCACTCCTGTTGGGTGTTTTTATGAATGACTTTAAATCTACTTTTTACTAGTTTATGGTAGGCTTTATGTTTGGTGTAAAATACTCTGCACCCTTATTGTGATATGTCTTAGAGGAGGGTTTCTTAAGTTTTTTTCTTCAGTGCCCAATTCACACACACACACACACACACACACACACACACACACACACACACACACACACACACACACACACACACACACACACAACAATTTCCATGAATCATTTGCAAAAAAAGAGAAGAAGATCCAGTCAGCAAAATGTTGTTTGGTTATTATTCCCCCCCCCCCCCCCCCCCAAAAAAAAAAAAATCACATTAGTTTCACTTCATATTTTTCACCCACTTGTCTGTGTTCCATCCTCCAGTGGTTCCACACGGCACCTGTTTGAGCACCGCTGCCCCATATAATTACACATTATCATTATTATGCATCAAACAGTATCTGAATAGCTAATATAATTATATGTGTCAGCAACTTTTACTGGCCAAGAAAATACTGATGAAATTGCTGTGATAGGAGGTGAAAAGTCATAACGTCAGACAATGGTGTGAATGTTACTGTAGACAATGGGTTTTCTGTAAACAAAAGGGACAGCTTCAGTGAATGGAGGAGCTACAGCAGTGCAAAACTACAAAGTGCTGTTTCTAATATCACATGATTTGGAGAAACAGGGAAGCCTGTCAATTGTCAAACCAGCCAATCAGATGACAGTTTCATAACTCCAGAATGATCTAATCTTGACATAAAAAAAAACAATCTAGTTCCCTTTTCTTTGTAATCACTATGGACATAAAAACACACACATAACACTGGCTTGGAGAAATGAAAATAGGGAACTGATGCGAGTGTCAAAATAAAACACATTTTATTTGTATGAGGACAATAACCAACAGTTCGTCATGCTGTACATTTCCCTGTTTCTACTACATACACTACCTCAAAAAAAAAAAGAAAAAAAAGAAAATGTACAAGTCTTACAGTGTTGTGTTGCAGCATATACTGTGAAATACTTAGTCACCCATTATATTTCTGTTCCTCACAAATACTTATATTTTCCAGATGCCTGACAGTGTGTGAAACATTCATCCATGAGCTGGGTGTAGGAGAGAGGGAGAGGAGGTTAAACACTCCTTAAATAAAATACTTGGACCACATCGTACCACCTTTGGCTCCCTCAGCAGATCTCAGACAAAACATTTGAGTCTCCACCGGACCTAAGACAGATATCAGAGTCACAGCAACTGACTATGTATGGAAATATTGTATTTTTAGATTTTCCACTGGCAACCAGGAGGGTTATGCATAATCATATAGAGACAAAGCAGTACCCAGTTAACTGGCAGTGTGTAATAGCTTGGTGGAATCACTAAAACAACTTGATAACTGCATGTATGTGGTTCAAACAAATGACTCAGACATGAATAGAAACCACAGCTTTCTGTGTAATTAGCTGATTCACAGACTGTGACTGCGTAAAACGAGCACTAGCTGAGTATTTGTTCCTGGTTCCTGGCCCTAGTGTCAGCTTAGAGTCTGGTGGTCTTAGGTTCTGGCCGAGGTCACGAGGAGTCTTGCCTCGTTCGATTGTTAACGCAGAGCCTTTCCAGCTGCTTAGCACGCTCTTTATGGACTGTGACCAAGGTGCGGTTCTCCTCTGTCAGACGCCGAAACTCCTCCTCCAAATGGGCGATCTCCATGGCAACCTTCTCATCCTCCACCATTTCCGCCAGCAACTTGCGCCTAAATGGATGAATGGGAAAATGTTAACAGCCAGTTATTGACATCCAAGAATAAACTCGGTTTGAGGCAGGGAAATACCCAGGAAAGGTTCCCAGTTCATGGAAAAGTCAGATTTCTCAAATTCATGCAGATGAGCATTTTCGAGTACTCAGCTTTTTGGTTACTTGGGGGGGAAGCCAAAATAAACACAGAAACAATGCAAACTCACAGGAAGGACCAAGAGGGGAAATCACTCACAGACCTGAAAAAATAACTAACATTTTTATGTGGAAGTAAATACTGTGTATTATTCACAACATTTTCCACATGTAGGAAAATATAGTTTGTTGATGAGTGGTATAAATGCAGATAACAAAGTATGTTGAGCGCTCCAAGGCTTATGTGCCACAGATCAAAGATCTATCTGTGCATAAGTACATTATTATTGGCTCCCTGAACAAAAAGACTTCATGGTCATGATGGCACTGAAATGGATTGAAATCAAAATAAATGTTTTAAAGATCACAGTTTATTAACTTAAACTTACAGTGTGTAAATTTTTTCACTGCTAAATGTCAGTAGGATTCAGATTGCAGTCATAATCCTAGCTATGTGGCTGGTTTAGGATAAACATGTTTTAATCAGCCAAGAAAGATGCAAAACATTAAATTTAGCCTGTACCTCATATCGGTAGTTCTCGGTAGATAGAGGAAAAACTATCTGTGTAGATTGTCAGTCCACTGTTTACTTCAGCTGTCAATGCATCCACATTTATTTATACTGGAAAAGGCTGTAAAACTTTGTGAAAGGAGTCCAATAGAGGTCAATGAGTCAGAGCTCATTGTTGACCATTCATACTGAGATGAGTTATTGTGGATATTTGAATTTTTCTGTCAGTAACACTGCTGTTTTTGCTAATGTTAGCCTCTGTTAGCCAATGTTAGTTGCTATTAGCCAGGACTGGTGAAACTGTCTTTGAAGTGGACGTAACTTTGTTGCACTCTGGGATTTAGTGAATAAATTCTCATACAATGTGAGAGTTTAATCAATTTGTTTATCGGTGGGAAAGTGTGATTTTTTTTTTAAGTTCCTAGCATTAGCTGGTATAATGTTAGCTTATAATCAGCTGTTGTTGTTTAGCCTGTTGTCAGCTGTCTAATCTACTGACAATAAGTAATTGCGACAATATTGGGAATAAATAAGTATTTTTATGCATGTTTTTATGTGTTAGAGCCTTGACTTCAATTTGGGAGATTAGGCTGGAAGGAAGAGGTAGAAAGAGGATAATATTTTATTAAGAGGCCAGTGGTGTTGTCTCTGTCCTTTATGACAGAGACAACGGGGACTCCTCTGACAATAAAACATAGGTATAATGAGTCATATCTTGAGTCTGAAGGTGCAAGCATGGATCAAATGTCCCTGCATGGCACACAAATGCCTTTGACTTCTCCTCTGCCTACTACGTATGTGGCCGGTCTCTAGCCACATATGTAAAACAGCACGAGCGGGAAGAGAGATGTCCTTTCCAGGCACTGTATTCAAATATGGTAGAGGAACATGGTGGCTACCACAAACCCGCTCCTATGTATTTTTAATAGATTTCTTTTACATTTGGAGAATGCATCCGTTTTTTGGAAGATGTAAATAAACTCTGTTCCATCCTTTGTATTCTATTAAATAACATAAAAAATACTGATGGCACCTCCGAGAGCTACTCTTTTCAATAAAACCTCATCCCTTTCTAATGTTTTCTTCAGGCATAATGATGTATACAGAAATAAAATCTTTCTCTGCCCACTGGAACGCTTATTCCAGTCCATGTGGGCTCACAATAACCTCCTAAACCAAATATAAATACTATCCTCAATAAAGCTACCCAAACTGAAACACTGTAGAGCAGGTTTAGACGGCGTGATCTGACTTCCTTTGGCGAAAAAAAACGAACAGCCTTTGGACTTTGAAAGACATTGTCAGCAGTACTGCATGGACATGCTATGTGTACAGTGTGGTACTACATGTAACGCCCTGACATCTATGAATGTATGTGAGTGTTGTATTACAGCTACTATTAGGTTACAGAACAGCAACAAAAGAAAAAAAAAAGAAAAATGATATGTATTATCCACAACAGGTAGAGTGAGGAGTTTTAATGGGATAAAAGCATTAAGTGAGAAGCATACTTAACTGAGAGTAGTAGTGGACTTTAAATTGTTGAAATGCTGGTATTAGGGAAGCTCTGGTATACACTGAGGTCTTGGATCACACTCTAAAACAGGTCTGCACAATTTATTTCCTGAACAAAATGTGTGAGCCACAAACAAAGAAACTGGTTGAAAATATGATGCAAGTACGAAAGTATGCAAAGTATGATGAAAGCATGTACAGCCACACTCTTTTTTTTTCAGTTCCTTAGACTAAATCAGACTGAAAATTGATCTGAATTAGTAAGCAAAACT